TGGCCATTTGGATATGGAACACGAACAAACTAGATTGCAAAAGGAGCTGCTCTGGCAGCGTCTTGAAGGCTGTTTTGTAGTGGTTCTTGTCTCCAACGTGGTGGAGAATTCACGAAATAGGTGTAGCGAAATCCTAACGAGGTTTTTGGTTCATTTCATGAGTTCCATCATCAGCAACCTGAAGCCGCATGGTACGGCCTTCAGCGGCAAATCTGGGGCATTCGGAAAACAAGCAAACAAACAGCTTTTCTTGTTTGAATTCTCTCGCTGTCTGGGACTGAACTTCCGAACAGCTTCAAACTCTTGCTTCACGAACGAACCAGCAGGACGGTAGGCCAGCCTACCGAGCTGCGAAAACTCAGTGTCGACACGAATGGAAAGGCGAACACGACGGTAGGCCAGCCTACCGAGGTGCGTCCTGTTCCTTCTGCTTTGCTGTCAGTCGGAACACCGGGAAAACGAGACCAGCATCCCGAAGCCGCATGGTATGAGCTCCAAGCGGCAGAACTGGGGTTCTCGGGAAGCAGAGAACACCAGAAGCCCGAGACCGCATTGCACGAGCTCGAAGCGGCAGAACTGGGGTTCTCGGGAAGCAGAGAACACCAGAAGCCCGAAACCGCATTGCACGAGCTCGAAGCGGCAGAACTGGGGTTCTCGGGAAGCGGAGAGCACCAGCATCCCGAAGCCGCATGGTATGAGCTCCAGGCGGCAGAACTGGGGTTCTCGGGAAGCAGAGAAACCTGTGCCGCACGGCACAACCTGCCTCCACGACTGACAGCACCATGACTACTGCTCGCTACTGCCTCCCTGGGTGCCTGCCTCCTCATGGTTGTGTTTGGAAGTGGAGGAAGACGAGGAAGCAGCTGTGTCTGCTGGGACAGCGGGAACCGCAACCGCGCGTGCGTCGGGGAATGTGGACATGTCCGCAGGTGGGGGTCGGGAAACCGGCCGCGGAATGGTGTACTTCACCTGCTCGCCTGTTGTGGAGTTGTCGTTGGATTCGATGGGGATGATGTGTCTTTTGTTTACTTTCTTATTGCCGTTCGGGGTAGCGACGACGAGCGCTTGCCCGAGGTCGGAAACCACACGAAACGGCCCATCTGCGAGGGGGTGCAGCCTCCCCGAGATGGAGCTGCTGGGCGGGTGTGCCTTGGTGAGCACAAGAGACCCAGCGGGAACGGCCGGCGCACGACCGTGCTCCCACGTCTGCTGCTCCTGTTTGTCGACCAAAGCCGACACGACTTCCGTGTAGACGGCGTGCATGTCGTGAAGCCGATCCACCCAAACGCGCTCCAGGCTGGTCTTCGGCTGGGAGGAAACATCAGGCAGCCGCAAGGAGCTGTAGACGGACGGGGGACTCCAGCCGAAGAGGAACTCGTAGGGGGAAACGCCCGCCAGCGCGGAGGAAGGAGTAGTACGGGCTGCCCACTGCGCCGGACCGAGAAGACGATGCCAAGAGGGCGCGCGGGAAGCGAGAGACGGCGCCAGAAATGCACGTAGGTAGGCGTTGAGCTCCACGTGACAACGCTCGACGACAGCCTGTGACTGCGGCCGGTAGGTGCTCCCGTAGACCCACTCGACCCCGAGTGCGTCAGCGACTAGCCGAACTATTTCGGCGGTGAAATGGCTGCCATTGTCGGACCGAACCACCAGGGGGGTACCGAAATCCCAGATGAGATGCTCGGAGATGTAGGTAGCACATTCGCGCGCCTCGCAAGTGCTTGTCGGGACAAACCAGCACCAGTGACTGAGGAGGTCGATGATGGTCAGCACGTACGAAAAGGAGCGACCGGTGGCCTCACACCGGGACGGCGGGTGGATAGGTCCGACGAAGTCCACTTGGATGGTCTGCATGGGGAAAAGCGCAGGCGTGGAGCGCGGGTCCCCCTGCATAGCGAAGCCGGGCTTGCTGACTTTGCAGATGTGGCAGCGGCGGATAACTCTCGACACCATGCGGAACATCCCCGGAAACCAGAAATGCTTGCGGAGCTGGTTGACGGTAGCCTCGCGACCCCGGTGCACGGCGGGGCCAGGATTGGTGTGCACGGATGCTATGACTTGCTGCTGAACGGCGGGAGGCAGGAAGACCTTCTGCTCGAAAGTCTGCTTCAAATCGTTAAAGACGGAGACAACCAGGAGGGTGTGTCCGTCGACGACACAGGGCTCCAGTTTCTTGCTTTTGACCAGACGGCGGCCTGTAGCGGACTCCGCGTACAGGGCCGTCGCCGTAGCCAACGCTTCCACCGACACCGGCGGCTGCGGAGCAGCCCAAAACTCCGGCGTGGTTGGAAGTGGCTCCAGGATTTCGCTCTCGGGTGGAGCTGGAGTTGTGTCGTCGCCCGCTTCGCTGCCTGCTGCCTCCACGACCGGCTGCTCGCCTGCGAGCAGCGGCCTGGGGTCCTCCTGTTCGCCCGCCTGGCTTGGTGTTTCTGCCTGCGGCTCTGCCCCCTCGGCGGGAAGCTTGGCCGGGCGCGACTGCTCGCCCGCGAGCAGAGGCGCGCCAGGACCTGCCTCCGCGGCCGGCTGCCCACCCGCTGGCAGCGGGCCCTCGTCGTGGTTGTTGCGCTGCCCTGCCGGCTCAACAAGGTCGGCAAAGCTGTCGTAGTCGTCCGTGTACCAGCCCATGTTTGGGGTCTGCTGGTCCGCGCGGTCGATTAAGCGCTGCGCACTCGCAGTCGCCTTCGGTACGTTTGTGCGGCCGTGCAGGATGCGCATGAGGTGCCGAGCAGCGCGTGGCTCTCCTAGACTGTACGGAAAGGAGAGGCGCTTCCGCTTTCCCAGGGTCGTCTCCACCTCGTTAGTGAACACAAACTGGTAGAGGCGTTTCGCGGTGTCGATCCGGCAGCTGTAAATGTCGGCGTCTGTGAGATCCGACAGGACCCGGACGTCCTGATACTTTGCACGATCCTCCGCCCGCACGTAGAAGCAATGCTTCGGGTGGACCTGCGGAAAAGTTGGCAAACGTGGGGCCCCCGGTAGTGCTACCGCGTTCGCGATGCTGGTCGCGAGCAACGCGGCGGTCGTTCGCCGGGTCG